GCCTGGGTGGCTCAGTGGGTTAAGCCTTTGCCTTCGGCTCAGGTCATGATTTCAGGGTCCTAGGATCGAGTCCCGTATCGGGCTCTCTGCTTGGCAGGGAGCCTGCTTCCTCCTCTCTCTCTCTCTGCCTACTTGTGATCTCTCTGTGTCAAATAAATAAATAAATAAATAATCTTTCCATAGGCTAAGAATTAAAGAATATGCAGGACTTTCCAAGCAAAAAGAGAGAGGGGAGTGTTGGGAAAAGACATCCCAATGGAAAAAAAAAATGACTTATTTATTCAAGTGACACATTTAAAGGTACAGAGACATAAACAGTAATCATCTTGCACATTACTATTCCTATCTACCTATCTATCTATTTATTTAGTTCTAAGCTTTTTAAACAATAAAACAAGCTGACTAAAGCATGGATTCTTAAAATTAAATATATGTTAATATTGCTTCAATTTCAATGGGTGTTTTTCTGAGAATACGGCTTTTTTAAAAAGGCCATTTTTAAAAGAAATGCTTTTTCTTATCCACACTTTTCCCTTTATGAAAAATATTTAGCACTTTAGAATATAAGTCAGTTTGGAATTCTGAGATGCTTTAAAACATATATACAGTATGAGACAGTAAAGGAGAACATGTGTTTTTCCATACAAAATGTTATCTTAGAGGCACTTAGTTGGCTTAGTGACTCTTGATTTTGGTTCAGGTCATGATCTTAGGATCAAGAGATCAAGCCCTGCATCAGTCTCCACCCTGGGATCGGAGCCTGCTTAAGATTCTCTGTACCTATCCTTCTCCCCCATTCCTCCACCCCACAACACCTGCACACACTCTATCTCTAAAATTAAAAAAACAAAAATAAAAAAAAAATTCCCAAACCAAATGTTAACTAGTAATAAGCAGTGTCTTTTTGGCTTATAGATTTTGTATAAATATTATATCTGAGGCCAAGGACTATTTCTCTTTAACATACAGTTCTCAGAATAAAATACTGTTTTAACAAATAGTATTATAAATAGCTGATTACCTGACATCCAAGCAATGGATACCACCGGAAAAGAAGACAGTTCAAGGCTAGGATTAGTTGGATCACTAACCAAAGGAGCTGAAGAATAAGTGGATGCTACTGTGTTCAGCTGTTATAGCCACTGAACAGCCATAAAAACCAGGCCCTAGAGGTGTTAACACAGAATACTAATAACCTTGCCTGTCTGGGTGTATCTTGCTTTGTATTTTTCAAATATGTTACATTTACAATCTTGTGTTTTTCAAATATGTTATTTATATCACCTAATGAAAGAAGAGAAAAAAGAGGAACAATATATGAAAGAACCCTACACAGGAAAGGGAATCCAAAAATAATGGGTGAATGTAGGCATAGTTAGGAGAAAATTGAAAAAAAAAGATGGAAAAGCTCTGTGTGCAACACACTGTGGCATGCACCAGGTATATGATGAACGAATAAGATGTGGTGCTAGTCCTTAAGATAAATATCGGAGACAGATCATACGCAGGTAAATATAAAAACGAATGTATAACTGTAACTTGAGTTTGGTATCAAAATAAGAGGAAAGAGAACAAGCCTTGGAAATACAATAAAAACAAGGCCTATTCTCAAAGAGCCTTCCACAGAAAGCAAAAAGGCAATGAACATGTAAGCCAGTGATTCCTAACCTTGTTTATTCCTCAGAATACCCTAGAGGGCTTAAAATATTCTGATACCTGGACTCACCCTCAGAGATTCTGATTTAAATTGCTCCAGGGTAAGGCTCAGGAATCTCTTTTATTTTTAACACTCCAAGTGATTCTAACATACAGCCCAAGGTAGAGAACCACGGATATAAATTTATAAACCAAAGATCTCAATGAAATTATTGGGGTAAGTTTGCCTGGCTAACTAGCTAGGAAGATCAGAGCGAGTCACCAAACAAATCACATTCAACATTACAACAAGGTTTTATTATAATCTCAATTCAATGAAATGCAGAGGTTTTACAAAGTGTTGCAGAAGTATGAAGAAGAGATTAATCAGGTTTGAAGGCATCATGTATAGTAATTACTGCTACCCACCAAATATTTCTGGTCCTTCTCTTTAGCATGTAACAGGAGTGCACCTCCTTGACCTCTTCAAGTTAGATGTGAACATATGACTGGCCTTAGCCAATGAAATACAGAGATGACCTGTTGTTTTCGGTCACAGCTTTTTAAGAATCAGAGTTCAATGATAACATGCTGTCAGCTTGAGTCCCAGAGTAAGGATAACACACAGAATGGCACCCAGCTGATCCATGACAGAGATATAGCAGGAGTGAAAAAGAAAGCTTTGTAGTTTTAAGTCACTGAGATTTAGGGATTGTTCTTGAGTCAGCCTTCCTGACTCAAAGACCATAGAAGACTTCCAGAGGAAGAAGATTATTTAAGCAGTCCAGAAGGAAAGTTAAAAAGTACAATTCAGGGGCACCTGGCTGGCTCAGTAAGAAGAGCATGGGACTCTTGATCTCAGGGTAGTGAGTTTGAGCCCCACACTGGGTGTAGAGATAACTTAAAAAAATAAAGAAAAAATAAGTGCTATTCATTAGACAATGGGGCAAAGAGCATTTGTTTTCAGAGACTACCTTATATAAAGTAATGAATGAATAAGCAGAATAACATGGGATACTTGAGGAATTATAAAATAGTATAATATGGCTAGTTTAGGATATGGGAAGGTTGGAGCAAGAGATAAAGCTGGAAAAAGACAATTCATGAAGGACTACAGATCTAGACAAGAGATCAACTCACAAAAAGGTCAAAGCAGCCATTCCACAAAACAGTTCACATAGTAGTCCTCAATCTTCTTTCTGCCTTGTTATACCTAAGTGAGAAGACCCATTTTCACCAGTAACAATGGGATACTAATAAAAAAATAAATATATATATGTATATATATTATATATATGCATATATATTATATATATATGCATATATATAATATATATACATATATATATAATTTTAGAAAGCTCTAGTTGATTCTGATCCACGTTTAGGAGGGATGGCCCTTCCTCTTCCCTGTCCCAAGAAACACTACACTTTCGCTTGAGGACTGTTTATCCTACAGCGAAGATGACTGAGGCCTGATGAAAGATGTTTAAATGGAGGCACCTGGGTGGCTCAGTGGGTTAAGCCTCTGCCTTCGGCTCAGGTCATGGCCTCAGGGTCCTGCAATCAAGCCCCGCATCCAGCTCTCTGCTCAGCGGGGAGCCTGTTTCTCCTCCCTCTCTCTCTGCCTACTTGTGATCTCTGTCAAATAAATAAATAAAATCTTAAAAAAAAAAAGATGTTTATAAACAAATGAATAAAATAATTAGTTCTGTATTTTAAAAAGGACCTGCATTTCTGGTGGCAGAAAGATCTACTAAGGGATACTGTGACAAGAAGGGTACAGATAAAGATTATGTAAAGGCCTGAATTAAGCAGAGGCAACGACAAAAGAAATATATTCAAGAGACTTTTAGAAAACAGACCCTATACTACAATTCTTGAGGACTAACTGTATAGAGGAAATGGAGTAGTACACTGTGATTGCATGTTTTTCCTGGGGAAGCTCGGTAAATATTAACACCACTAATAAGATAGAAAATAACTTCAAGCCATATCCCAAATCTCCAGAATCCATTTCTTAAAACCAGAATTTTAGTGCCTACCATCATAGCTCTCTGATGATAACTATAAATGTTACAGGGACAGGAAATCCATCTACATCTCATTTTACCTAATTTTGTTTTTCCTCTTATTAGAAATGATCTGTGATCTTTCTTTCCCATTACCTTGATTAAGCAAGACCTGACATTACAAAGTTAAAATTAAATCTCATGCAACTTTAATAACATTAACATTATATCTAATATATCTGCAAATAGTGGTTTAGGCCTGTCTAAAGAGGAAAAATTTAAGACTGCCAAAAACCATGATGACAATCAGTTATTCACTAAAAATTAAACGCAGTAACTTCTATTCTTAGTAGGACTAGTATTCTTCCTTCTCAATATAAACCACTGAAGTTCTTTATTCCTAAGCAGAGCTGACCAATAAAAAAATACATAATTCTCAGTTAAATTTGAATTTGAAATAAATGAGTATTTTTAATATGTACATTCCACGCAGTATTTGGGACATACTTCTATTTTTAAAATACTCATTGTTCATATGGAATTCAAACTTACCTGGGCATCCCTTGTTCTATTCTGCTAAATACAGCAACCCAATTTCCAAGTGACTATTAAGTACTCTTTTAAAAAGATTTATTTATTTGAGAGAGACAGCAAGTGGGAGTGCTGGGCGTGGAGACCAGAGGCAGAGAGGCAGAGAGGCAGAGAGAGAGGGGGAGAGAAAGAATCTCAAGCACTCTCCCTGCTTATCGCTGAACCCAACACAGGGCTCTATTTGAGCCAAAACCAAGAGTCACTGCTCAAACAACTATGCCACCCAGCGGGACCCTATTAAGTACTTTCTAATCTAGTAAGTCTCTTTCCCATTTTATTTGTTCTGCCTAGCTTAAGCCAGAGGCAACTTTATTATCACTACACATATCCATAACTTTTTCAAAACCTAATGCTGGGGGCACCTGGGTGGCTCAGTGGGTTAAAGCCTCTGTCTTCAGCTCAGGTCATGATCCCAGGGTCCTGGGATCAAGGCCCGCATCGGGCTCACTGCTCAGCGAGGAGCCCATTTCCCCCTCTCTCTCTCTGCCTGCCTCTCTGCCTACTTGTGATCTCTGTCTGTCAAATAAATAAATAAAATCTTTAAAAAAAACAAAACAAACAAACAAAAACAAAACAAAAAACCTAATGCTGCTTCTTCCACCACCTGGGTGGCTCAGTCAGTTAAGCAGCTGACGTCGTTTTGGGTCAGGTCAGGATCCTGGGGTCCTAATATTGAGCCCAGCTTTGGGCTCTGAGCTCAGCCAGGAGACTGCTTGAGGATACTCTCTCTCCCCTTGAGAATTCTCTCCCTCCCTCTCTCTCTTTTTTTTTTTTTTTGCTGCAAAAAGCTTTATTGTTTCCATTTGGTCCAGGGCTTGGGAGAGGGCTCCAGGGTGGTTACAAAGCTGCCTCTGGCTGCAGGGAGAGGCTGAGGCACGGATGTCAGCGAGGGCTCCTCAAAGGATGCTGCTGGTCTCCGGAGCTCCTAGTCGTGCTTGAGGGTGAGCCTCTCGAAGAGATACTCGCCCAGCCCAGCCTGGGGGCCAGCCAGCCTGCGGAGGTTCGTCAGGTGGTCGCCCATCTTCTTGATGAGTTTCACCTCCTCAACCAGGAAGTGGTTCTCCAGGAAGTCACAGAGATGGGGGTCTGTGCGGGCAGAACCCAGGGCGTGCAGATCCAGAAGGGCCTGGTTCAGGCTCTTCTCCAGAACCAGGGCAGCTTCCATGGCGTCCAGGGTTTTCCCCCACTCATCTTGGGACGGCTTCTGGACGTCCTGGAGGAGGGCGCGGCGGCCGCGCTGGTTTTGCATCTTCAAGAGACGCTCAGCGCCCTCCCGCTTCTCCTCAGCCAACTCGCGGAAGAAGTGCCCCACACCTTCCAGAGCCACATCGTCACGGTCGAAATAGAAGCCCAGAGAGAGGTAGGTGTAGGAGGCCCGCAGATGCATGTTGACCAGATGGTTGACGGCGGCCTCCACCTCGGTGGAATAATTCTGACGAATCTGGGAGCTTATGGTTGATTGAAGATCAGGAGGTAATCTCTCTCTCTCTCTCTCTCTCCCCCCCTCCCTCTCTCCCTCCCCATAGATATATAAATCTTTAAAAAAACACAACCTAATGCTACTTCTTTGTCTTTAAATAAGTAATACTTTTAAGAGTAAAAGCACCCTGACCAAAGGTCACTCAGTTCCCTCTAATAAGAATATAAATGAAGTTATCATCTTAATTATATATACACATTCCTATCTTGTTAGAAATCAGCATCTACTTTGAAATGTCTTCTCTTACCAAATGCTAAAATAATCATTCAATAACCAACATATATGTCTTTTACTTTAGGCAACAAAACATTCATAGTTCAGAGTACACTGTGTCCTGCTGGTCTCTCCAACCTCTGTCCCAAGTCTAGCTGACAGTAAACTCTCCATGCAGGCCCTGAGCAGTGGTCCTTAGCTCTCCTAGATCTTCTTTGCTACAAACTCTTCTTACTATTATGTCATTAAGTCTCCATTTGCTTGTAGCTCCACCACAGCATCTGGGGGAGTGCTCTGCATATTACTACTGCTCCCTGTTAGAACGTCTTAATAGAAAAGTCAAAAAGAGAAAGCTATCTATGGACATAACTGAAAGAATCCCACACTAGATAAAGATTACCCAAAACCCACACAAAAGATGCTCAATAAATAACTCTTCAATCTCTTTATAAATAAATGCAGTTTTAGCTTTTATTTTTGATCACTATCTCACCCACAAACATGCCAGCAGCAGGCATTCTGATGCCTCTGTGAGCCAAGCATACATGAAAATGCCAAAGGCAATCCTTTGCTTCTGTGGTCTCCATTAAGAACTTTAGATCCCTTCTCCCAGAAGGATAAATATATCCAAAAGGCAGAATAAATGAGAGGCTACAGAAAAGGAAACTAATATACTTGAAGTATACTAGAAAGAGAACAAGAAACAGAGAGTAAACCAAGCAGGCAGCAGACTGGGCACAAGGGTATTTCATTTAGAGAACTGATCTGTCTTAGGCCTAAGAGTAGAAAATTGCTTTCTAGGGCATGAGAGAGGCCAACAAGGCCTCTGCATCAGCAGTTGAGAGGAAGAGAGGGCCAAGTTTGACAACCATCCACAGCATGAAGAACTAATTTTTTTCTAGTCATTGTTAGTTTGTTACTTTTAAACGCTGCTTCTTTTTAACACATAAAATATTTAAGAGGTACAAAAAGATCTAGTATTAATGCAATATACTCATTACCCAGTTTATGAAATAAAACATCATTAAAACAGTTGGGCTGAAGTTCCTTTGTCATCCTCTCTGACTCCATCCTCTCCGACTGACTGCATCCTCTCCATACCCCTACTCTACTCTAATTTTGGTCATTATCATACATTTCTTTATACTTTCACTATAAAAGTATATACAGATAAAAAGAAGTATTATAGTATTTGTATGTTTTAAATTCTATATAAAAATTTCATATACAATGTACTATTTCTCCATTGCTTTATTCATTATATTAGCGTGGATTAATCATGTTGGCATGTGAAGATCAGGTACTTTATAAAATTCCACTCTTAAGCAAAATTATGTATACATTCTCCTATTGATGGACAATTAAAATAGAGATCAGCAAACTATAGCCTGTGGGTGAGCCAGCTGACTGTTTCTGAAAATGAAGTTTTCAGAACTTCATTCTGGAATGAATGGAATGCAGCCAGGCCCATTCATTTTTTTTTTATTTATGTATTATGTATTATTTTATTTATTATTATGTATGGTTGCTTTAACACTACAGTGGCAGAGCTGAATTAAGTACGGACCATTTGGTCCACAAGCCTAAAATATTTACTATCTGGCCCTTTAAGGAAAGGATAACAACCCCTGTTATTAACAATGCTGTTATGAATGTTCTCCTGTCCATGTGGGAGATGTTCACTAGGGAACATAATTAGGAAAAGATCTACTAGGTTGTAGATCAGGCCAGTCTTTATCATTACTAGATTTTTACCAAACTGCTTCTCCAAGGTGGTTAGTTATATACTTTTATAGACCATTCATGCTTCTTCCAATGTTTGAATCTTTTGCCCATTTAAAAATGGACATCTTTCTTTCTGATCTGTAGAAGCTAAATATATATAGACAGATAACTACTGCTCTGCCCACTAAGTTAGATACCTCTTTCCCAATCTGTGGCTTACCATTTTGCTTTTTACCTTCATGTCTCAGCTGAATCTGAAAAATGAGGATTATGACATAACTCAACTTCATACAGTTGTTGTAAAGAGTACCTGAGTTAATATATTTAAAGTACTTAGAACAGTGTCTGGCACATGTAAGTGTTCAATAAATGCTAACTATTCTACAGTGCTGTTTTTTACAGGAAAATGAATTTTAAATTTCAATGTAAATTAATTTATCAATCTATCCATTGGTATTTGTGCTATCTTGTTTAAGAAATCCAACCCTACACTTTCAATTTTATGCGTCCATTAAGCAATATATGTCTCAACCTATCTGTTTATTTACTACCTCTGAATGCTCAGAAAGAACAATACTTTCAGTTAACATGGTTTCAATTAACTATTCAGTTTCAGCATATTTTCTTCAGTACAATACTGATCTCTATGAAGTTCAAGTAGAAAATAGAAACTCCTCTAGAATACCTAGTCCAATACAAGTTCTTGCCATCAAAAAATAAATAAGAGAGATCTGCTGATGTCTAAGATAAAGTAACAGAGAATTTACATTCCCACCTAAAACAAATAAACATAGTTGAAACTATAAAAAACAACAGTTTGTAGGACATGGCTGATTGGGCAACAAAGGAGAGTGGTATCTGAGGACTGTAAAACACAGAGGAAAGCCCTACTACAACCCAAGCATATTGCCTTAGGACAGTTTCTGGGCTACAGTGTAGGAGAAGGGAAACCAGGAAGAGTCTAGTGGACTCCCTGAGTTGAGGTGATGGAGCTAAGATGACTAGGTAACCAAAGAAGCTAGAGGTATCAGGATGGAGTACTGATAATAGCTAAGAAAATGGTTGCTAAGAGAGAAAACCCTGGAGATCTTGAGGGTCCTCCCTGAGTAATTCAGCTTAGTACTGCTAAGTGCATTTGTGTAAAGAAACTACCAAAAGCTGGGGAAAGAATTAGAGAGAAGAATACCTACCTCTCACATAGCACTGAAGATAGTGTCTGTTCCCACTAACCAAACTGAAAAACTTCCAAATGCAAAGGCATCGACTAGACAGAAGGGTCTAAGAACTACTCCAGATTTACCTAATAATATTTAAAAGCAAAACTAGAAAGAATCAAACAGATTCCAAGTAACTTACTGCATCTCTTAACAAATATCAAGAATATTTATAAAAGTAAAAAACAGCCAGCATACAAGACAAAATTCAGGCAGGCACTAGTGAAAAATTACTAGGCATGCAAAGAAGAAAATATGACCCACAATGAGGAGATCAATCAACTGAAACCAATCTAAAACTGACAAAGATGTTAAAATTAGCAGACAAGGACACTAAAATGTTATTATAATTGGTAAAAAGTGGAGACATGGAAGACAAAAAATGGCCCAAATCAAAGTTCCTGAGGTAAAAACTGCAATAAGTCAGTGGCAATGGGATGAAGTAGGGGTGAATTTAGAGAGGCTTGATAGAGCTTTAACTCTGGTGTCTGTGAGTGGCCAAAAGGTAAAAAATATATATTTTAAGATGAAAAATACACTGAATGGGATTAATGGAAGATTTAATCTTACAAAAGAAAAAATAAATTAACCTGAAGACATAGGAATAGAAAATGAAACAGAGTCCAAAATGATAGGAAAAAAATTAACAGAGCCATAAATGAGCTATGGGACAACTACAAGGAGAAAAATATATATGTCTTTCGGATCCTTGAAAGGGTGGGGGAATGAGAGGAGAACAGAAAAATATTTAAAGAAGTAGTATCAAAATTTGTTGAAACTTGATGAAAATAATAAACCTACAGATATAGGAATCTCAAAGAACTACAAGAACAAGAAACACAAAGAAAACCTCATCAATGCATGTAACTAAAGACTAGTGATAAGGAAAAATCTTAGAAGCATTATAGAATAACAAGAATAAATACAGAGATCAATAAAACAGAATTGGAAGTTCAGAAATAAAAGTCAACGGGTCTCTCATAAAGGGACCAACACAATTCAATGGAAAGAGAGTCTTTTCAATGGTGCTAAGAATATCTACATGCAAAAACAAGATTCCCACCTCACACCATACACATCGTGGATCACACACACACACACACACACACACACCCCAAAAAGTAATAGCTAAAATCACAGGGGAGCCTGGGTGGCTCAGTTGGTTAAGCATCTGCCTTCAGTTCAGGTCATAATCTCGGAGCCCTGGGATCAAGGCCCACATTGGGCTCCCTGCTCAGCAGGTAGTCTGCTTCTCCCTCTTCCTCCGCCCCTCTTCACTCCAATCATGCTTGCTCTCTCAAATAAATTTAAAAAGAGCTAAAATCATTAAACTCTTAGAAGAAAACTGAGGAATAATTTTTCATGAACTGTGGTTAGACAGCAATTTCTTGGTATAATATCAAAGGCATGTTATAAGAGAAAACTGATATACAGAACTTAAATACAAATTAAAAAACTTTTTTGTGTTACAGGGCACTCCCCCCCAACTTGTACATGCATGCATTCTCTCTCCCAAATAAGTAAATAAATCTTAAAAAAAAAAAATCCATACTATAAATCCTAAAACAAATAATAAACTAACAAGAAAGTTATAGCTAGAAATCCAACAAAGATGACATAATAGAATTATTTAAAAATTCAATCTAAAAGGAGGCAGAAAAGGAAAAAATAACACAAAAGAACAAGTGAGAAAAATAGGTAAACAGTAATATGACAGATTTAAATGTAATCATATCAATAACTGCATTAAATGTAAATGACCTAAATATCATAATTAAAAAGCCAAGATTATCAGACTGAATTGAAGACAAACCTATATGCTACTTACAAGAAAGGTACTACAAGCAG